GTTTACTGGGACTTGCTTCTCACAAAGATAAATTTAGGGGGGGAGAATGAGGTTTTCATCAGCAATGTAAAATGCAACAGCATGATAGCCTTCAGAGGAGGTGTGCCTTGCTCTTATCTGTCTTCTCCGTTGCATCTGATGAGACTTTCTTCATGATTCTTGGTCTTGCAACTGGTTGCTATCAGGTAGCTTTGAGCTGGGGGACTGAGGAAAGAAGGCCAGGGGGTTCTTACACCGCAGAGCTGAGCATTTCCCCAGGGTATGTCTGCAGGCTGCTTTCTTTATGGAGCTATCTCTGTGTTTCTTCTGCAGATCTGGCAATGGAGGAGTTGCAAGGTGAAGATCTGGTTTCTAGACCCTGGTTTGTCTTTTCATCCAGCTGACGATGCTATTCTCTTTGACATCACAGGCTGCTTGTGTTTGATCCTTTATCTCCCCAGCAACCAGGAATAGCAAGCACTGTTGTCTGTATATATTGCGTGCAATTGTGTAGGTGCTTTAGTACTGTCAGGCTCTCTAAGTGTGCTTCTGTAACCCCTTTGAATCTCAGGGACACTTCTGGGTGTGTAACCATTTGAGGCAAAGAATAAGATGTGGAATAAGATTTGATAAAAAGGATTTTTTAGCTTGCTCAGCCAAATGCAGGGGTTGGGATGGGAAAAGAGGAGGAACAGAGCAGTAGGAGGAATATCACTGGAAGCAGCTCCAGGTTTTGGGTTGGTATGTCTTAAGCATCGATAAGCTCTTATTGGTAGCCATTCCCCATGTAAGTAATGCAAGCAGAGAACACAAGTGGGATTTCTTTCTGGGAATAGGTGCTCAGTGGGATCCAAGCTTGCCTCTGCCTGCCTGTCTCTGAAGTGGCAGCTGTATGCGTCCTACATCCAGCCAGAGTCCTCTCTGCTGACTCCTTCTCATGATGACACTCTTAGTACAATTCTTTTCCCCCAAACCCGACAGAAAATCATGTACAGGGAGCTGTGTTCTTTGCCACTCCAGTGATAAGACCTGCAGTCTTTGCTTTCCTATTTCCCTCCCTCTGAGCCCTCAGTTGCCTTATTCTCTCCAGTTAAGGGAACTGAGGAGTGTCTTCTGACTGCTCCCAGCACTGTGCTCTCTCCTCCCCAGGCAGCCCCAGCCCGCGGTGGTGCCATGCCATGTGCCTCAGCGATCACAGAACGGTTGTTCTGGTTGGTGGAGAAGGGGCTGATCAGCAGGCCTGCAAGGATGCTCTTTGGAAGTTGGAAATTGGTGAGGAGTTTAAGGCTGTCAAAGTCAATGGGGTGGGTGGGAATAAAGGATGAATTGGGTGGGAGAGTGTCCTTTGGGGTCTGCGGTTGGGGAGGGAACAGCAGAGGGGTCACAACTCCTAACACAGTCACTGTGAGTTCTAGGTAGTGGCTGATGGTGATGTCACTCCAGGCAATTTCCCAGTGCGCTGGGAAGGTAACTGCAGGATGCACAACAGAATTTTCATGCTGCCTGCTGCTGTGCTGTGCCTGTCAGGAAACTTGCACTTTGTTAAAGAGATTATGTTGCTCTGGAAAAGCAGACAGGAGAAAGGGAACAAAGAACCTGTGTTAACATCTGTGCTTATGGCATAACGATATCCCCATTTTAAACTCACTTACCTACCATCTGCCTGGTGTTGCTCCTACAGACAGCGATTTTTGGTTTCCAGTGAGTCTCCAGCAACAAAATGCTATGCCGTCATGCTTACGTGGTCACACAGCTACCTATGACCCAGACACCAAGCGTATCTACGTTTTTGGGGGTATTAGGGAGGACAAAGACTACAGCGGCACCTACATTCTGGACACAGTCACCTGGAAATGGCTTCTTGTGGTTGTAAGTACTGCAGGTCTTCTAAAATGAAAGCACATAAAGTGTGTTAGGTCCTGCCTGAATGTAGCAATTGATGTACTGATGTCTGTACTCCAGAAGTCTTGGTCTGTTGCTGCAGGTTGCCTGAGCTGCTTAACTTTCTTGTATCTGTCAAACCCAACTATGCTGAAGGGCCATAAGCTTGGCAGAAAAGAGGGCATGCCTAAAGTGAATGAAACAATGTGGAAAAAATGGCTGCTGCAAGAGTGCTGTGTCTAATCAGGATGGTGGGTGGGAGGTACTGCGCAAGTAGCAAAGGGAAATGGCATCTCATTCTGCATGGTGCTATTGAGAGCTACATTGGATACTGAGGAACTGGTCTTTTGAAGTCAGAGAGCTGCTCTGAGCATGGCAGGTCTCTTAGCTCTTTGGATTGCACGTCCTGTTCTTGAAGCAGATCCTGTCAGCTAAGGACTGTCTCTTTCCTGGCTAAAGCAGAAGACTGCTGTTATAGAATAATACTGGGATGAGATCTTTCTGTTCCCTGTCTTTTTTTGAGACAGCTGGAGTGGGAGGTTAACTTCCTACTCTCATCAGAGCATTCTAGTGGTGCAGAGTATGGAAAGGATTTACTGTCTGCTTGAATGGCAAAGATCTGATGGGGGAGCCAGTAAAATGAAAATAGAGACTTGATGAACTCATGGCATGATGTGGAACCCTTTCTTATGGGTCATGCAGCAAATTACAAACTTCTTATAGCAGATATTTTGTTCCTAGGCTAAAGGAAGAATGCCATCGCTGACCTACCACAGTGCAACTATCTACCGCAAGGAGCTCTTTGTTTTTGGAGGAGCTTTCCCTAAAACAGCATCACTGGCAGTTGCACCCTGCAGCAACATGCTATATATCTTCAATCCAGAACATGAAATTTGGTACCAGCCCATCTCAGAAGGGGAAAAGCCTCTGCCTAGGCTTGGGTGAGAGGCTCTTGCTCTGGAGCTCCAAAATAGAGCAGGAAACCTCACCTTCCGTCCCACCTCAGTGAGATTCCTAAATATTAGGTGACCTTCTCCACAGTTTCCTCCATTAAGATAAGGCTGTTTTGAGTAATATTCTGTCAAGGCTCTGTCCTTGGGCTGCAATGGCTGAGGATAGAGAGGGGTGCAGACAGAAGCTATTGCAACCCATTAAAAGAAGCCAAGGCAGGCTGAACAAAGGCTAACACACTGGGGAGAGTGCTGAAGATGCTTTGCTCATTTGCTGTTTCTCTTCTCAGGCATTCAGCTACTCTACTGAAGAACAAGCTGCTGATCTTTGGGGGTCAGAGGTCTTGTCTCTACCTCAGTGACATGCACATCTTGGATCTGGGTGAGAAAGTCCGTACCATCTTTGGAGATCTGTTTTAAGGCAAGGACTGTGAAATAAGGCCTGCAGAATGGAAAGGCAGAATTAACACTAAAAATCCTGACTAGCAATGGAAATGGAAAACTCTGGTTTAGTGGGGGTGTAAGGGGGTGGGTAATGGGAAAAACAAGACATCCTTTTTCTGGAAGAAGCTGGGCAACAGAAAGTACAGGTAGCCGATGTGACAGTGTTTCAAAGTTTTTGTCTGATTATAAAGTAGAGAAATACTGTTAGCAGAGCTTTTTGGACATTTAATCAACCTTTCTCCTGCCTGTCAGGTTTCATGGAATATACACCAGTTGCACTCTGTGCAGGACAGCCTTCTGCACGTTGGTAAGATCTTGTTGCAGATCTAGAAGCATTTTCTTCCTCTATTATTCTCTGTGAAGTCAGGTTTAAAAGGTGCTCATGATCAGACCCAGTTGCATACCTTTGTCTCACTAGCCAAACACTGTGGGTGGCCCCTCTGCAGTGGGACCAGAAATTCCCATGCCTGGTCTTCATAAGTTGTGGGGAGTACAGATCACTAAGTGGAAATCTGAAATGGATGCTATCTCCCATTAGAGAGGTGACTTAAGTCCTTGCTATCTTATGCCATATCGCAAAACACAGAAGTTTTGCTAACTCCTGAGGTAATGAGGTGCTTTTCAGGCTTGATTTATGACATAACCTGCAGAGAGAAACTAACAGTTCTTCCAGGGTCATTCAGCAGGTCAGGGCAGAAGAGAAGTTAACTTCTATTCCCCAGCTTAAGCCCCCAGTCTGCTCCTGAAAGTCTGCTCACCTCTGCCCATTGCTGGCTGACGCAACCCCACCTTTGCTCTGGTCTCAGTTTTCATGCTGCTCTGGCTGTGTCGGACTGGAAAGTTCTGATCAGTGGAGGCTGCAATGCCAAGGGAGCCCTGCAGGATGCCTTTGTTTTTAACCTAGGTGAGTGAATCTCCCTCCCTATTTCCATAGCTTTTGGTGACAGTGAACTGCAGTGGTGTTTCTGAATGTGTAGTCTTGTGTGTTTGTTTCACTCCTTGCATTAGGAACGTAGGTGGGTTTGTTTGTTTGTTTTTCCCTCCATTATTTATAACCCATTTCTACTTTAGATACTCTTTCATGGAGCACAGTGATCCACCATGACCTCTGCTCTGTGCCACGAGCTGGCCACACGTTGCTTGATCTGACTCCCATGATGGATGTGGACAAAGAGAAAAAGAATAAGCATAACCTGCACACAGTGCTGGTCTTTGGGGGCTCCAACTGTGCAGGGGCCTTTTACAACAGCACAAAGAAGATCCAACTGGACCTAGGATAATGCAGGATAACCAGAATGAGTCTGTCCCCTCTTTGCCAGCTTAAAGAGGGTTAATAATGAGTCCCAGTAATAAATAAGTCCCAGCAATGTGGCAAGTGAATGCTACCTTAGCACAAGACATCACTGACTTGCAGTGTCTTTCTGTATGCTGTGGGTATTGCCCTTTTAGGGCAGTTGATACACAGCATCAGAATGGGAGAAATCCCATATTGTATCCCTGTCTTGGATGCCAGAACTTTCAGTGGGATCTGAGATAAATCTGCACAAGAACACAGTTACAGGCTTCTTGTTTCCTTTCTTGACCTATAGATTTCCCTTTTTGACCTACAGAGCTGGAATTTCTGGGATGCTCTGAACATGACTCAGGTGTTTGGTTTCTTTTCAGATGAGCAGAATGGGATTTGCTGCTGCAGCTTGAAAATTCCTCAAAGTCAAAGTACCAACATGATTCAGACATAGAAGGAGGGCATGTAATATGAGATTTATTCCTTTAGCAAATAGTTTGCAGCTGAGGACTAGGGAAATGCACAGGGCATTGTCTGTGAATGGGAGAAGGAAGAGATTGCCGTAATTTTCAGCATATGGGAGTGAGCTGGTTATATATTTCTGATTATAGCTTTGCTCTGAACAGATTTTTATTAATTCTGCAAGATTGCTGCTGGACATAAGGAAGAAGTCAAATCAGCTGTCCCACGTAGTGAGATGTTAGTACAGGGCTTCCTGCTGGCAGTCAAGTCCTTGCCACTCCAGCTACTTGATTTAATGGGTAGAAGGGCATCAAGATCGCAGCTCTGCAGGAGTGTCTGGCTGCCGGGATGGGTGGCTTACTTTGAATGCCTCTAACTCCAGGAGAGCTTTGTTTATTCTAGTTATTGTAGGATATGGACCCAGGTTCACACCGTATCTGCAAAAAGAAAAGGATTTGTGAGGTACAGTCAGACAGCCAGTGAGCAGAAGGACAGAGCAGTGTTCTGTGCCTGCCCAGTGTCAGCACATCTCAAATCTACACTAAGAGAAGTTCTTTCAGGTTTAAAAATAAATGCTAATGGAAAAGCTACCTTGTTCTTCCATTTTCACTAGGTGTTTATATAGCTTTTAGCTTATGGTAAGAAGGCAGTACAGCTTTCTTGGGAATCTTGCAGTCACTACTTGAGCAGGTTTACAAATACAGTCAGATTACTTTTTTCTCTGTCTTGTGCAATGTAGATATGGGGCAAAGATGGAGAGAGGATGTAGGGTGCAGGCAATCTTAGCTTTTCTATTAGGACACAGATCAAGCTTTCTCTAGGGGCCTCTGGGAAGAAAAACTAGCTCCTCATTTCCAAAAGCCTCTAAGAGACAAAGAACTTATGACAAACTCATGCAAAGAAGCATGTATAATTGGATAGGGCAGGATGTGGATCTTCCCTAACAAAAGGAGAAGCAGAAGTTAAGTTTTGCCAGTCTGGCATAAGGAGTAGGTGCTCTTGAAGAACACCTCAAGCTTAGCCTTAATTACCTTTCAGCATTGCCAACTTGAGGCACCAAGCACAGATCAGCCATGGATACCTGCAAATGGAGCACAGAAAAGAGGCCAGAGTATTACTTTTTCAGCTGGTGGTATCTGATATCATTTCACAGATAGGTTTAGGACAAACAAAAGAGTTGTCACAACAATCCCATTATTTAAGTGAGCACTAATAATGCCACAACAGTGATAGGAAAGGATCCTTACAGAAGTCAATAGCACAAAAGCTATCAGCCCCTAGGGAGCTTTCTAATTATCATCTGATCATGGTGTCCTCAAACTTCTAAAGCAACTGCCAGTAAGTAAACAAGTGCTAGCAAGTTGCAGAGGGAGAAGCTGGGGGGATGGGTATAGGTGTTGCATGGCTGGGAAAGGATGTATAAATTTTGCTTGTTTGCATTGCAGAAGCATCAGAGCTCCACCAAGGTCAGGAACTGCTGAATGACAGGACCTTTGTATGCAGGCTCAAGGACTTCCAATCTGAAAAGAACACTCCTTATATATAATACAGGTAGCTGCTTAACTGCACAAAAGGCAACTGTTTCCACCCTATTACCCAGGTCACGAAACTGTAGGCACCTTTCAGAGCACACATTACTTTCCAGCATGAGACCTCATTACTAATATTTTCCCACCTTTTATAGGCAGGATCTCACTGTTTGCCAAACAGGACTGCTAAATGGAACAGGTCTGAGTTGCCTCTAGCTTGGAAGGGGTAGGAACAACCTGTATGCAATGTCTTCCTGCAGTCTGCCCATATTAAAATTGGAGAAACAGAGCAGCAAAATGATATAACTTGGTTAAAGTTTACACAGGACAGAGTTAAGAGCAGAATTTGCATTTCTTGAGCCATGCTTTGCCCCTCAGATGGGACACTAAATCTACTAAGAGTGAAAAGAATCATCATAGAATGGCCTGGGTTGAGAAAGGACCTTAAAGATCATCTAGTTTCATCCATCACATAGTGGACAGGGTCACCAACCTCTAGGCCAGGCTGCCAGAGCCACATCCAGCCTGACCTTGAAGGCCTCCAGGAATGGGGCATCCACAATCTCTCTGGGCAACCTGTTCCAGAGCATCACCACTCTGAGTGAAAAACTTCCTCCTAATACCTAGCCTCAATCTCCCCTGTCTCAAGACAGTTCCCCCTTGTCCTATCACTATCCACTCTCGTAAACAACCGTTCCCCCTCCTGTTTATACGCTCCCTTCAAATACTGGAAGGCCTCAATATCCCCTGGACACCAAGAAGAGAGTGGCTCAGCAACCACATCAGCTATCTCAGCACCCTGGAATGCATATCATCTGGCCCCATGAACTTATATACGTTCAGTTTCATGAGGAAGTCTCAGACTTGTTGCATTGTTACAGTGATATGGAATCCACCCCCCTCACCCACACTTGGAGATTCAGGGTCCTGGCAAACATGGGGAGCCTGACAACCAGTGAAAACTGAGGCAAAGCACTTATTGAGTACCTCAGCTTTTTCCATGTCTCAGGAAGCCAGTTCTCTGTTCTCAGTTATTAGAGGGGAAACACTCTCCTTGATCTGTCTCCTCCTGCCTACAGAACCCCTTCTTGTTATTTTTCACATCCCTCGCCAAGTTCAGCTCCATCCATGCCTTGGCTTTCCTCATCCTATCTCTACATGTGTGGACAAGAAAAGTACTTAGCCTTTTCCCACATTGTTTAGTGGCAGCCAGTTCACAGACTTTAGACAGGAGTGCAAGATCTGGCTATCAGCAGTTTCTAGGCAGGGATAAGTAAACATCTGAATAGCTATTTGTAAGTCAGTAATGGCTTAAGTAGGGTACAGCTATTTTTCTTATAGTATAGACACTGCATGAAGTACAAGGCACAGGATATAGTTGTGCTGTGTCTCTACAACTAATTCCCTTTCCCAGTTAATGGAACATGCTGGGACACATTACACAGTACGTAACTCTGGTACTTACCTCATCTCCCACACAGTAGCGTCCAGCAGTGTGCTGCAGAATCTGTTCTAGTGCTGCCAAGAGAGGTGGTATACTGGAGTAAGGCATTGGAAGATCATTTGAAAGGAACCTCAGAGACTTTTTAAACTGCGAATTATGAACAAGGACATTTTAACTCTGAGAAGAGGATGAAAAAGGTGCAGTACAGGACAGAATCTAGAAAGAACATAAATCCTACAGTAACATAGTTACATGAGTCTTTAGTTTTCCCTAAGCTTTCTAGGACCCAGCTGTTTCAGGCAATGCAGATGAGGTCCTAGGAGCACAATGTGGAGGTATGTGAGAGTAGGAAGAGAAAAAGTAGAAAAGTTCACTATCCAGAAGTGAAGATGCACCAGCCATTCTAGAATATAGAGGAAAGTTTGGAAGAAACAAAAAGTAAAGAAATACTCTGCTACATGCCAAATTCTGTGGGAGTTTGCCATCAGATTTCTTTAGACAAAAGAATACCAATATAGGTTGATAGAATTTCAAAGCAAAAGGCACTACTTCAGGAGCAACTGAGTGGAAAACAGAAGTGGTGTCAGCCCTCATACTTCAGGGTGAATCAACTGTGGCATCATAGAGGATGGCCCTGGGATTTTCCTCTTCCATGCACAGCAGTGGAACTACACTGTGGAGAGTATTTTTCCTCCAAGACCTTAGAGAGCTAGTAGTACTGGACAAGGGACTCTGAGCAAGAAGACCACTGTGTCTCCCAGCCTGGTTGAGGAGAAACTAGGGCTCCAGTGGTGCAGCATGCTGGCTCACAGTTTTGAAGAGCAGTGAAAGTGCTGAGCATTTTGGATGCAGGATATACCTTGGAATCCAGATGTGATGCAATGCTGAGCCCATTCCATTTTTCTCTCCCCCATTTTGTTCAGGATGCTCAAATTCTGTGAAGGCAAACAATCTCCAGATTAAAAGGACAGCTGTTGGCTGGACCTTGCCTAGAGAAGGCAGATTAAGAAGTGCCAAGCTGGAGTGCTCTGCCTGAACTTGGCCTGCTGTGTCAGCCCTGACCTCCCTCTTGCTGAACCATGTGCTCTGCTTTCTCCTAGACCTGTTCTTCTGTAACAGAACCTGCCAGGATATTTGTCTGCCCAAGTTCTTGGGCTCACTCCCTCTTCCTGAAACACTGTATGCCCTGCACTGAAACCATATGGGTTCAGTTGTTTCTGGAAAGAACAATGGGGTGCTATGGGATTTTCTTTGTATGAAATTCTGTTGCCATTGGCAACAGATCAAGCAGAGGCTAAGCATAGATTTCATCTGCTAACAGAGTCTTAAAATCTGCCACTCTCTGGAAATCCATCCTGTTTTGCTCATTTACATGGATATGACTGGGCAATACCTGGAGTGGCTGAATGCCAGAAGCAATGTGATCCGAGATCATTCTGACTTGGGCTCTTTTCTTTGGATCTTGGGGCAAGAGCCTGGGGTTAGGACAAGTGTCTTCCAGGTACTGAATTATAGCCAGCTGTAACGAACAAAGAGATAAGGGAAGGTTATTGGAGAGAGAGGGAAAAGTGGAAAAGTATGCATCCAGAAACTTAGGAAAGGGAAATTTCAAATTGGTCCGACAAAATACAATAGTTTTCAAATAGAATTTGTTCCTAGTCCGAGGAACAGCATATCCCCTTAGATGCTTGGTTAAGACTTTCTGATTTAGACCTGCTGTAGTTTCAGACAAACTGGCACAGCACTCTAAGCCAGACTACAAACTGCTCAGTAAAAGGTGGAATTTTGAACCAAAGCTGAGTTGACAGGATGTAACCCCTGTAGGGGTTACATGCTATTTTTTCTCCCCCCCAGGTGGGATTCTTTAACATAAATGTTATTTATTCTGTAATACACAGATGAGAGGTTTGAGGGAACACAAAGGGAAAGCTTCCCCCCCTGCCTTGTGGTCAGCAGCGTGATTCAGTGTTTAGCAGGTATGTGGCTGTTACTCACCGACTGACTAATGGTGATACCATCAATTTTCAAGGCTGGGACTTGCTGCATTGGATTCACTGCCTTGAATTCAGCAGAAAACTGTGGAAATGAACCCAAGATTATTGCAACCAGAACTTTTTCTTGTTTTCTTCCTCAGGCTCCCACAGGGCTTTTTTTTTAAAACAAAAACAAAAACAAAAAAAACCCCAACAAACTGGCTTTTCCCTCTGCCTTAGAGCTAACATTTGCACTAAGTTGTGCTGCACCATTAGCCTACCACAGTAAGTTCCTGCTGAGGCTCAGAGATTACTTCACTCAAGGTGAGATTGCCTTACCTCTTTATAATCCATCATTGTCAAGCCCAGGATGGGTGGCAGTACAGCAGTATCACTATCACCATTCTAATTGGAGATCTCTTCTGGCAACACAGCCTTTGGCAGGCCATTTGAAGCCTTGTGCTGTATCATTTGGCATCTTTTGGATGGCCCTCTCTGTTCTGCTCTCCCTTCCTGATGCTAGGTTATATCATGCTAAGCAGGAGCAAAAGATCTTCAGACTTACGAAATTCAATCACAGATCTTTGAGGCAGAGGTGAAAATCTTTAGTCTCCTGCAGTCATCTCCTTTTACTCTGCATCCCAGGGAATACTGATTGAAAGCAACTACTACAGAGAAGCTGTGAGGAATTTAGCAACTTTCCTTAGTGCTCATCCCAATTCCCCTGCTGATCCCCAAGTTCAGTACTTTTGGAGGGACTAATGGTAGGTGTATCCTTACCTGCTGCCCCCCATCCTTCATGAGGTTCACTGGTACCTGGTCATAGGCAATCCCTTTAATAGCCAGCGCTAGGGAGAAGAGAGTACACAGCTTCAGACAGGCACACTGAGACCAGTTTCATTGGTAGTGACCTCATGGAAATGTTACTATCTCCATTTGGGGAGGAAAAAAAAAAAAAAAAAAAGGTTTAAAACAGAAAAACACCCTATACCTCAAGAAAGGCAGCCTGAGTCCTGTGAGAAGACAGCACTCTATGAAGGACCAAATGTAAATGAAGGACCAAAGAGCAGTCTTGTCAAAAACACTGTATTATTCAAAACAAGCTTTGCTGCTTTTTGCAGCACAGCACTTGCTGACAGAGGCTTAGGTAGGACAGGTGATCGTGTGCTCACCTTCCAAAATGTGTTCAAGACTGTCTCAGTCTAAGTAGGGTTCATTCCCAGCCCTGTTTGGCTCTTAGGGTGATCTGATCCGTATAAGCATAAAAAGGAGTCTAGTGTCTCTTGAAATAGTGTGGAACAAACAACCATTTGCATCATGTTAGCTTTACAAAAGCAACAAACTGCTGTAACAAACTGCAGACAAATCCGCAAAAAATACTAAGAGAACAGAAAACTCTTCCAAAGTTTGTTGAGCAAGGTTTGTCCACAGTTGAGCAATGAGCTGCTGCTTCTGCCCTCCAGTATGGAAAACTAGGGAGAAGCTTACACCAGCGATGTGCACCCTCCTGCTTGAATGTTGGATGGCTATAGAAGTTGCCCTTGGATTCCCTTCTAACTGAGAAGACCTCCTGCCTGCTCCTCTCATCCTGCAGCTCCAGGTAGCCTGCGGTGTTCCCTCCCACTCCAGAGAAGGTTAAGTAAATGCTGTGTCACTGTCCCAGGTTCATGTTTGCTGATCTCTATTAAGTGACTAATTTGTCAGTGAAAGGTTGGGGATATCATAGCAGCGCCAAGACAGTAAAACTAGTTCTTACCGATTCTCACTCTCCATGAGCAGGAGCTTCGGAAATAGCTGTAAAGTGTTGGCTGAGAAGAGAAAGACATGAAGTGGTTACGTGGTGGGAATATCAGAGTATTTTAAAGGAGGGCAGTGCATGATCAGAAAGCATTTCAGGAGGCATAAGATACAGCAGAGCAAGGCTTGTCAGGGGAGAGAACTTCTTTCTGGAAGTCTCTATTCCCATTCTGGCTGTGCAAGTAGTGCTCCTCTTTTTCATTCTGGCCCTCTGAATGTTCAGTTGCATCTCTTTTCAGCAATGTACAAGTGATATTAAAATCGTCCCCTACAAGGTTTCCCTCTGTCATGTATTTTCGAAGCTAATTCCTCAGTGATTGTGCCAAGCATAAAACAGCTTTTCCAAGCTGAGGAAGGCACAACCAGCATCTTTCCAATTGAGATGAGCTACTGCTGTTCAAGACGAACACCAAGAGGGCAGACAACTCATCTTCATCTCAACTCCAGCACCAAGGCAGCTTCCCTGCATGCTTTCACCCCAACAAAGCTCTCACCTTTTCTGAAGCCATGGCCAGTGTGTGCGGTTCAGCCCAGGAAATAAAAGAACTGCGCTTCTCTTTCCCCTTTAACTCAGCCGGACAGGGAAGGATTTAGGAGCCAATAAGTAAAGCACCACGCCCCCAAAGTCTATGTTCAGGACATAGGTAACCAGCCAGTTGGATTCAGTCCTGGGAACTGCAGCCAGCTGCACATGCATCCCCACGTGCTGTGCTGCAGCCCCAGCCCTGCTGTCAGAACATATTAATCAGCTTCGAGCTTGGAGCTCACTTATCTTTAAGGTCCCTTCCAACCTAAGCCATTCTGTGCAAAACTTTAGAAGCCATACTTCTTTCTCTAGCTTTTTGTCCTGGATAAATAAGACAGCTGGAGAGACTGTCAGGCTCTCTGCAGTTGCCAGTGCAGAGACACAGCTCAAGGACACGAACTGATGGGACCGAAGCTGTGTGCAGTACTTCTGTTTCACTGAGCAGGGCTCCTGCTGCCCTCCTCCCATCAGTACCAGCCCAATCACAGACTGGGCTGCAGAGAAAGAAATAGGAACTATGACTTCTAAATACATACATATATATATATAATTTTATTTTTATTTTTTACTTTTAAAAGGATGCATACGGTGTCTGTGAGATGCTATTTGACTCGTTCTTCCTGGGGACCTGGCTGGCAACGTTTTGGCTTGCAATCTCATTTCTTTCACCACACCTGTTGCAGATTCTGGTCCCTCAGCTGGCAGAAACATTTCTCTTGACCCTCTCCACAGCTCCTTGTCCCTTTGCAGCCTGCGCTCATTGGTAACTAAATCGCGTTAAGCAAATTGCTTCCCCTACACTTTCAAGAGCTCTGCCACTGCAGAGCCGTGGATCTGCCTTTATTAACCACCGTTTCCGCCCTTCTGCAATCCTGCGGGCGCCGGAAGGCAACGAGGCGGACAGAAAGGCAACAACCAGCCCGTGGCGGCCGGAGTGCGGCCCGGGCCGTCTGAGCAGAGGACGGGGAAAACACCGCCTTCCAGCGGCTCTGCCCCCCGCCGCCGCCGCCCGCCCTTTCCCGAAGCCGCCGGTACCTTGGCCGCGGCGGAGCTCATTCCGGCAGCAGATCCGGCGCTCCGGCAGGACTACGGCTCCCGGCGTGCCCCGCGCTCCGCTTCCCAGCTCGCCCCGCACCCGGCCTGCTGCCGCGCGGCGGAGCCCCGTCCATGCCGGCGTCGGGGGGCGGCAGGGCCGGGTCGGGCCCGCTCCGGCAGCGGGGAACCCGCCGGCCGCAGGGAGCGCCGCCCGTCTCCGCGCTCGCTCCTCGTCCTCCGGCGGGCTGGCGGGCCGCGCTGGGCCTCGTCACCCTCCTCAGCTTCGCCTCCCGCTTCCACCGCCTGCCCGAGCCGCCGCACGTCTGGTACGGGCCGGGGGTCGGAATCTTAGAAAAGACGCTGCCTAATAAGGCTAAAGTACGCGCCGCGCTGTCGTCCCAGTGAATGCAATGCGTTGTCCTTCATAGAGTGTGTGGCAGTAACCCTTTACATGATGAAAAACGGGCGGAAAAAACCGACCTGGATTTTTTGACAGTTGTCGATGTTGCAGTAGGTTGTTCTGTGTTTATTTTTTCCAGTTGGGATGAAACCCACTTTGGGAAGATGGGAAGTTACTACATTAACCGGACCTTCTTCTTTGATGTCCATCCTCCTTTGGGGAAGGTAAATGGCATTGCTCCGTGTGTTTCAGAAGCCCCAGATTTGTCCCCTTTTTTTCTGATTGATGGCTGTGCCATCCTTTGAATGAATGCCAACCTTTCCCAGCTGTTGTTGGCTTCATGGTGTTTGTGTTCTGCATCCTGAGCCCTAGCTTGATCTTCTCCTCTCTGTAGAAGTGCTTAGTATAAGGAAACAAATCAGTGTTGCTGCTGGGTATTGGGTAGGTTTGAGCATGTGCAAGTTGAGAAATGAACTGTGTGGTCCAGAGGGGATGTTTAATTGAAGCTTACAGATTAAAGGAAGCGAATGGTTTTTGATGGCTTCTATGCAGCTCAGATGCCTGCCATGAAGCCATGGCTTGCTGTAGAGAACTTGTCCTAGAGTAATAGAAGATTTGCACAGGATTGGTAAGGCTCTCTTCACCTCAGGTTGTCTTCCTTTCAGGCTTAACCTCCTTAAGCTCTGGGAGCATGTTCAGAGACAGAATTCATTGTGGTAAACCCCACACACAGGGCTACAAGCCTGCAGTTGTCATTCTAGTCAGAGCTGAAGTTTTTTTAACTTCTTTTTTTTTTAGATGCTGATTGGACTTGCTGGCTACCTGAGTGGATATGATGGAACGTTTCCTTTTCAAAAGCCAGGGGACAGATATGAACAGCACAACTACATGGGAATGAGAGGGGTAAGGCATGAAAGGCTAGTATCAAGCTTTTTAACTCTCCTGTGCTTTTCAGTACAGAGTATTATGTCTTAAGAGCAGCTCTATTAGATTAGATCAGAGATCTGTTTGGCCTTGTGCCTTGTCTCTAAGCTCCCTAAAAGAATGCTGGTAGTTGTACTGTGAGTAAATCCTGATGTCTGGCTGTGAGAGGCTATGTGAAAAGTGAGGTGATTCTAGAGGTTGTCTCTTACTGTGAATTTAAAGGGACTATAGTCTTGAGTGTGACAGGTGTATTACCTGTCCTACAAAGGGAACGGTGCTGAGCTTGGGCTTCTGCTCACCCTGCTGTGCTTTGCTGAACTCCCTGATGGCTGGGAGCCAAGGATCTCAAGAAAACCAGGATCATTCTGCTTCTAGTAAAACTAAGCTGAATGAGCCAAAGTGGGAAGATTACTATTCAGACTGGTATTCTGCTTGAAACCCTGGCTGTGCTGTTACTAAAGGAGACTTAGAGCCATAAGCATGGGAGCAGATAACTCCAGTCAAAAGAGCTGCCAATTGCTGGTGCGTAGAAAGAAGGATGAAAACTGGAAGGTGTATTTCCTTAGTTTACTTACCCAGTCTTTAGCTACTCATGGTTCTACATTTCCCTCAGCTGAGTTCTCTGTTCATTGTCCTTCAGCTACCCTCACTCTCATTTGTCTAGAGAAGGTGATGTTGGTCTGCTAAAGATGTAAGATAGAGATGCATTTTTCTTAGATTTTATATCCTAATATCTTGTTGAAATAAGTTGAATATGATGGACATGTAATGTGTTTACTTGACATTTGTTTTTATGAATCTGATGTCGTCTAGAAGGAGAATGACTAACTGTTCTTCCTGACACCTCTAGAGACAGAACAGTGTAAGCAACTGTTGTTCTCTGAGCAGTATCTTTGCTCATTTGGCTTTTGTCTGGCGATACCAGTGAGTCAGTTCTGTAACTTGAGCACCTTTTGTTGTTGATAGGTATACAGCATGAAGGAAGGAAAGGGATGTGTGTGCTTTCACACTGGGGAAAGGTATAACTCTTCCCATTATCTTCTTTCCCTACAGTTCTGTGCATTCCTTGGCTCCTGCCTGGTACCCTTTGCCTACCTCACAGTGCTAGAGCTGTCCAAGTCTCTGCCAGCAGCCTTACTCACGGCTTTCATCCTTATTTTTGGTAGGTGTTCCTGCTAGCAAAGTGGAATAGATTAATTCAGAGAATGTCATTTCTGGCTTACCATGTGTTACCTGGAAGGTTATTATGCCTACTGAAAAAGGCTCCCAAAAGCCAAGTCCTTCTATTTTACATGCAACTTTTTAATTGGCTATCCTCTTGAGGATTTTACAGTCAAATGTTTATTGGTATCTCAGTTATGTGCATGACCCCAGCACTGGACTACATTTCACATTGCTTTTAAGAATTTTTACAACACACGCAGTCAGGAATAATTTTGCGCACTGGTGAAATATTGATGTCTCCCATATGAACTGCAAAGATATTTAATAACCAGCTGCACTCTATGGAAGAGTTCACAGTAAGAAATAAGTAATGCTCTTTGTGGAATTGAGCCAACAGTGGAGCAATGAGCATTTCAAATGAAGCTGCTCGAATCGGAGCGTTATTGGGAGATGCAGGTATTGAGGCACGGGGACTTCAAATTCCCATTTTTTAAAGATGGTATCTGAAAGATGACTTCTCCTTCTGCATCATCCTCAGGCACTGTCCTGGTGCTTTAGTAGATTAATCATTGCTGTCTGCAGCACTCTCCATCTGAATATGTTTGGCACACTGACTGCTGTTTCACAGGTACTGCTCCTCTGCCTGGTTTCTGTGAGTGAAAGTTTATTTCTTATCCAATTAGACATTGAGTTGTTCCAGCCTGCTTCAAGTTCTAAAATTGCCCTTGTTCTTTTTGACTCACCCAGCTACACCAAATAAGCTGTCTTCCTGCCATGTTAGTTCACTCTGTAACCACAAACATTTTTGCTGTTGTTGTGTATCTGCAGATACAGGCTGTATTACTTTGTCTCAGTATATTCTGCTTGACCCCATTCTGATGTTCTTCCTTATGGGAGCTGTTCTGAGTATGGTGAAGTGTAACTCGTGTGCAGATAGGTAAGATAAAGATTTTTGGTTTTTTAAACCATAAGTACCCAACTTTTGCATGGATTAAGTACTTGAACACATCTGAAACTTGGTAGTCTGTGAGAATGGCTAAGACTAGATTGTTCCAGGAAACTTGGAGGTGAAAATGGTGCATGGTAGAGGAGATAAACCCCTTTAGTATAGGGGTTTGTGAAACAAGGGAGAAAGGATTATGACAGAAGTAAACTGAGAGAGAGACTTAAATACATTATTTTTCAGGAAGAAGAATTTCAGCAGAAATAGTGGTTATGAAATGGTAAATTTAAAATGAAGTTTAAAATCTTTTTAAAACTCCTTGACTGGAAAGAATGTGGCATGGGACACTCGGTTGGAGACAGAGGAATGAAAAATTTTTGTAGTTTGCCAAGGCTTTACTCCTTAATGGCAAAAATATTAATATGCTGTCTTGGCTTAGTCTCTTTGTCTCCAGGCCAGAGTAACAGAGCTTAACCATGACTGTAATCCTACAAGTACTTATAAATCCTGCTGGATGAGGTAAAGAGTAATTTGTTAGATTTAAAGAGGTTAAAAACTTGAGAAATACAGTTAGGATGATGGTTAGGATATTTGCTGTAGACCTATCCAAGCAGAGTGGTGATTTATAGCTGTTTGGATTTGTCAGGGGGCTTCTTTGTGGCTGAGCTGTTCAGAGCAGTTTCCACACAATGCATGCAGAATTTGAAGGCATAAAATCTTAGAATGCTGTATAAGTATTTTTTGTTTCATGTGTTGTTCAAGAATGGATCCTTTAAGTCTTAGCATGATTGCAGCAAGCATGGCTGAAACACAGCCCACAAAGTCATATAGGGCCATGTGGAGCCATTCCAATTGACAGCTCTTGCGCCAGGGAGTGCAAGCACCAAGATACAGGGCATGTTTGATCAGCTCGTGGTGCAGCTGTGTGTACCATGACCTGAACTTTCTCATGTCTTTGAAAACAGTATTAGCTTTACCTAGTCGATTTTATATATATTAAAAGCCAGCTCTATCTCCTGTGTTGCTTAGCAGAGCAGAAGGGTTTCTAACCAAAACACAGGTATCGAGGCATCAGGAGTCAGGAGGAAAAGGCTTTTAAATTTCCTGTCATCCTCATTCATCTTTTTGCTTCAATTTTAGTTTAGTTTGTAATGTCATTGCTTTTTGCTACAGCTTTTGTTTATTCTTTGGTTAAATGTTCTTCTCTATGGTCTTTCTGCTTTTTTGAAAGTGGCTGCTCTTTTTCTGATGCCATCCTCCCTGTCCTTACATCTGAGCAATGTAATTTTGCATTTTTATGGAACTCATTAATGAAGTCTGAATTCAGATTTCAAACCCTTTACAAGTGAAATTGTCTTTCAAATGATAATTCAGCTTATACATGATGTCTGTGCTCCCTTTTTTAAAGGGAAAATACAGGGGTGCCTACACTGATGTGATGGACTCTGCTGGACCCTGCATCAGGAGCTTCCTTGCATCATGAGAATCATCTAAAGAGTTACAGAAACACTTTTTTTTTTTTTTTTTCTTTCCTGTTACTCATGAGCTCCTGAGGAGAAAATAGAACGTAATTTTATGGGGTAGTGATTTGCTGTTTGTTTTTCTGATAACAGCTGCCCGTTCATGTAGCCATAATTTATTTTCTGCTTTCATCTCTCTGTCCTGCAGGCCATTCTCTGCTTCCTGGTGGCTGTGGCTGAGTCTGACAGGGGTGAACCTTGCTGGAGCAATGGGGGTGAAGTTTGTTGGCCTTTTTGTAGTCCTGCTGGTTGGTCTGAATACAATCTATGACCTTTGGGACTTGCTGGGGAACCTCAGCTTGTCACTGGTGAGTGTTAAAAACTTATTTATGTTAAGGATTTCCTTATTTTGCTTTCTTTTCTTTTATCTATGTAATTTTGGTTTTTGATAACTATAGAAATAGCCAAACAGTGATAATCTACTGCAAACAGGCAACTGAGGTAGATTATGATGATTAGCAATGAGCATTGTGATAGAAAAAACTATTGCCATTTGTTTTTAAAAACTTGTATATGATCTCATAAGAGTGCAAAAAAAGGTTGTTGCTTTTTCCAGTTGGATGAATTTTATTTTGGTCTAGGTTGAATATGGCTGTACAGTGGCCCAAAGCATGATGATATTCTGCTCTGTTATTGATCTTCTGAGGAGCCCATGATCCCTGGCAGACAGGTGTGTCTTGCAGTTCTGAGTTTGCATAAGCATAGAACATAGAATATGATGAGCAGAGCAAGCTCAGGCTGTACTTTCTGTGTCACAGGCTGCATAGCAGCAGTGTGCTGTAGTCCAGCAAGAGTCATAGGCAAACTCTGTAATGGCAGTCTCTGCAGTTTGTCTCGAGGATGGTGAGAGCCAGAGACTGCTTGATTTCACTCATCTTTAGTTCTTCTAAGCTCTAAGAAATTCACTAGTGTATTTGGGTGCCCTGTTCTAATATATTGTATGCTGGCAACCGTGAAATCTGCTACTGGGAGAAATATCTCAATAGACTATTTACTGTTTTGCAACCAGCAGGATAAAAAATAATTCTTTGAGCACATCTTTTGAGAGGTATTCAGTTCTCTCCTTGTCTTTCATGAAGCTTGGAAATTCTGTTTCTTTCACTTACTGTTTTTGTCCTGTCTCATAAACAGGGGAGTCTTGGGGGGCTTTTTCTATTCCTGCTGTGTGATTTGTTTTCTCTGATTAATGTGAATCAATATGAGCTGCAAAGATGCTGTATTCCAGCTCCAGAGAAGCACTTGTTGAGCAAAGTCAGTTAATTGCATTTGAAATGGAACAAATCCATCATGTCTAAGCTTTCTGCCAGCAGCTGGCTGCACAGTGATTTCACTCGTGCTGCTGGCAGCAAAAGCAGCGAGCCTCTGAGTGTTAGAATGTGTAAAGAAATTTACTTCAGAAGGTAGATGCTTCTTTCTGAATACCTAAATATTTGGCAACTGTGGTGCTTGAGGAGGGAAAAAAAAGAAAAAGAAAAAAAGAAAAAAAAAAAAAGGGTTAAACCCATGAAGTTTGAATAACTTATCTCTGCATTTGTTAGGAAACTACTTATTTACATGCAGTGTTTCAGGGACTAGACTGATTCCTACAATTTTCAGCTTATCTTAGTTCTCCATCCTAGCTTGCTTGATGCTTTCCTTCTAGTGTTTTCTCTTTTGACATTGCATTGAAGTCTGTGGTTGTAGGCTTTGATCTTTGTGAAAGAGATTTCTATTTCAGTCATTTTGCTTAGGGGACTGGAGATTAGCTCATGTGCCACTGATGCATAAATTTGGTTACGTGCCATCAGTCAGCATTTGTCCAAGTGTCCAGTAGTTGTTAAGTCTTCTGCTCAAGTACCTGTGCTGAGCAGCTGCTTCTCCTGTCGGCTTCAGTCGGTTCTTATTTCTGTAATATATTCAGCTTTTTTTCATAGAATCATAGAATCACTTCAGTTGGAAGGGTCCCTTAAAGACCATCTGGTCCAACTCCCTGCATTGAACAGGGATACCTACAGCTGTATCAAATTGCTAAGAGTCCCTTCCAGCCTCACCTTGACTGTCCCAAGGAATGGGACATCTACCCCCTCTCTGGGCAACATGTTCTAGTGCCTCACCACCCCTATTGTAAAAACAAACAAACAAAAAAACTTCCCCCTTTTTTTTTTTTGCTTAATGATTGTATGATAGAATCCATGCTAGGGGGGGGAAAAAAAAAAAAAAAAAAAAAGGAGGAAGAGAGGAAGAAAAGATAAGAACATTTGAACGTTTGCCTTAATCAGTTTTGTAGTTATTTGTGAATGAACATTGATGGCATTTTCTTGTCCCACAGCTGTTTATTGCCCATCATGTGTTTAGATGATTTGTTCTGTGACCAGCAGAGTTAGCAGGATGTGATCACACAATCACAGTCTAGCACAGCTGTGTACAAACTGCTACTCTCAGTGATTTTCATGGAATGCTCAGCTTTTGTGTCAAGGCAGCTGAAACATTGAGGATGTGTTGCTGACTCTTTGTAACTTCTCACTGAGGAGCAAGAAAAGAAGTGGGAGTGTGAGAGTATCCTTGCTAAGTGAGCTGGTTTCTGTGGAGGAAACCTAGGTACCTAGCCCTTGTTGCATTCTATCTATATAGGGAGACACTGTCTAGTAGCTTATGCAATCTTTTCCTTTCACTCTTTGATCTAGGTTGTTTTTGTTCCAGGTTGTGTTTGGGAAACATTTCCTGGCTCGAGTGCTCTGCCTCATCTTGCTTCCACTCACCCTCTATGTGGCAATGTTTGCTGTTCATTTTGCAGTACTAAATAAAAGGTATTTCAGTTTTCTTTTCTTTTTTTTTTTCTTTCTTTTTTTTACAGAAGAAAAATCATCTGTCATCTTTGAATTAAAGAACACTGATTATGGATTTCTCCGCTCACAGCATCAAAAGCGCAGCCATGAGCTGTGTCTTTGTTTAATTCCCTTCCCAGACTTCTGCATTGTTCTTAGAGAAGGGCTGTGGCCAAGCTGGCAGTGAAACAGAATTTGAGCTTGAGACATTCTGACGTGTGAATCGAGAATCCTAACCAAGTCCTCAGTGTCTTCTTTTTTTTTTTTTTTTTTTTTTTTCCTCCCTCCTGTCTTCCTGGACCTGAATATGTCTCAAATCCATTCTCTTTTTTTTTGTTGTTGTTCTTTAAATTAGAAAGCACACCTCACTCCACCAGCCCACCTTTCCCCTCTATCCAAAAAGGCAGTGCATTCCTGAAAAATTATTTGACTGTGATGAAAAATGTCTGGTAACTGTTCTTCTGGTAAGGAGGGCATTTATTTGGAAAGCAGCAGCAAAATAGTCCAGTAATGATTTTCCATAAGAGGTGAGGTGAAAAAAGCATTTAACCATTAACAAGAATGTAAAATTAAATATATTATTTTTTCAGTTCAAGTCAGCTGGTTTTACCATTTAGCAGAAATGAGACTTGGGAAATCTCAAGAAGAGGCTTTATTAGACGTCAGCTAGCAGTGGGTTTTGTTTGTTACAAGAGCACCCACAAAGACAATTGATTGTGCTTTGTTCAGTGCCAGAAGGAGCACATTTTTATGTTCTCGTGTCCTTGTCCATTTCCTGCAAGAGTGTGTGTATCAGCTGTGATTCACAGCATTAGAGATGCAATTAAGGAAAACCCAATCATTCTTCTCCTGAGACCAAGTCTCTTATTTTGTTTTCGTCTGGTTTTCTTTTTCTTTCAGTATAAACAATCTGATTGTGCACAGTGGAACTTTGTACGCTATGCTTTGCCAGTCTTTGAATTGTCACATTTTTTGCTCTGTTTTAGTGGTCCTGGGGATGGTTTCTTCAGTTCTGCCTTTCAGTCCCAGCTGATTGGGAACAATCTTCATAATGTCTCCATTCCAGAGCGTGAGTGTCCAAAGAAGTGAATTGTTCTGAGCTGTCAAAACATGTGGGACTTTAGATAAAAGCTACATCTCCTTTGAAGCAGTGCAGGATAGATACAGTTTTGTGTGTATGCACCTTCACTTTTTTTGGCCTTTATTTTGTTTCAGACAACAAAAAAGGATTTCACCTGTTCAGCCTAGAACCTGGCTCTTCTCTTTATGTTAAAATGATTTGGGAGAGATATATAATGTTTGGTTGAAACTTCTAGAACAGTTTCACTGAATAGTAGTGGATGGTGATGGAAGGAAAGCTTGCAATGAGCTATTTGGATTAACACTTCAGTCAGGAAATGTGCTTTCATCAAAACAAAGCAGGAACACATTTGCCTAATTGGAGCACTGTAGGCTGGCTGCGGGAGGTATTTATAGGAGAGATGGCTTATGCTTTTTTCCCTTGTTCCTTCCCATTTAGATTTGGCCTATGGGTCTGTGGTCACAATGAAGAACCTTCGGATGGCAGGGGGTTACCTTCACTCCCACTGGCACCTCTACCCAGAGGGTGTTGGGGCTCGCCAGCAGCAGGTTGGTGTCCTGCAATACTGCTTCTAATTGCAGCCATCTACTCACTCCCATTGCACTTAGTGTTAGGTGTCATTGTGGCAGGAGCTGTTATCTTCTCAGCATGTTATCTTCTTGATGCCAATTAAGTTGAGCTTAATTTGGAATCCTGAGTGTAAAGAGCCCACCAGTTTGCACCAGGGAGGTGACTGAGGGTAACAGCTTCACTGCGGTAGCAAGACCCATCTCCATAGATGGAGGCCACTAGGACTTAAATATAATGAAAAGTAATGTTCTGTAATGAAAATGCAGTTGTTACCTCAGGCGAGAATGTAAAACTATTACAAACAAACCTATTACTTGTGTTAAAATCAACAGAATAGAAGTGCTGAGAGTTGTTTCCATTTGTGCCACAGGCCTCTGTGATGTTTTGTGAATTAATTTCTCGTCTGTGCCTTATTTTCCTCATCTGTCACCAGGGAAATTGTAAGGCTTTGTTCATTCAATTGGATATCTGTATGTTCATAAGCTGCTCATAATGAAAGGTGCTTAGCCAAACTCTCAAAGGGCTTATGTTTAAGTGATTAACCAGTAAATTAAAAAAAAAACAAAACCACCATGTAAGTATTGCTAATTAATTATTACAGAAATTAAGTGCATTTCTTGTTTTTTGGCCGTCATGATCAAGTTTCATAAATCTTTGCTGCTTCTGTGGCTTTCCTAAGATAAATGTCGGTGTGTAAAAATTGTTCTGAACTGTCTGACAGAAAGTTTCTGGAGAAAAACAAGTGTTTGTTTTTAACTCAGTCTCTGTTATTAACTTTAATTAATCTTTTCTTGCTGTTCTTCCCAGCCAGAAATACTTCCAATGCTGTCAGGTGACAGTGATGTTTACTGTAGATGGAGCTATAATGCCAAAACTGGCTTAAGAACAAGCCAAATTTAGGTGCAGAATATGCTTTATGGCAGTAGAAACAAGCAAGAGGGAATTGGAGGGTGTTGATGGGAATTTTGTTTGGAGTAGGTGGGAGAGGATGGAGATCCTCTTTCCTGCCACTGTGATCCCTACCCTGGAGGGGTATGCAGAGAGGAAGGAATTTCCAGCTTCAAGGAGACCTGGGGAGTAAGAGATGGAAATGATGCTCTCTCTGTCTTCTCTCCTGATGCTATGACCTCAAGGTGTGTGAGGTTCCTACTCACCCTTTTTCCCACCCTCAGACACTCCTGTATGTTCTGCCTCAGTCACCCATCGACTAGCTGGTCTGCTTGCACCCAGGTGGGAGGCACAGGTGTGAGGCTGGGCTGGGGTCCTGGAGAGCAGGGCTTGCTGCTTCTGCAGCTGGGAGAGAAGAGAGAGCACAGAGGGCATAATTCTTTCTGCCTGGAAGTGTGGCTTTCAGTAGCAGCACCCTCAGGCCAGATGACCTCCCTGCTCTTGGTAGCAGTAAGAAAAGTTACTCTGTGTGAAGCTGAGCAATTTAGTGAACTTTAGCTAGTTGGCACGTACTGCTTTATGAGTTGGTCCCTGAAACCTTAATTTGGAACTTTTGGCACTAGTGTAACAGTTATCTTAATCAGCCCGTTATTATAAATATCTACCAATGATGCCAGTTTAGAAAGCCAGTGCTGTTTCCATCTACTCACACTGGTCAGTGAAAATTCAAGAAGTTCAGGTTCAGATATCCTGTTGTTTTGGAAGGAATCTCTGAATGAGTGTAGGAGCAGGGCAAGCTGGTTGGTTGGAAGCTTTATTCGTAAGGCAAGTGAACTGCTGTTAAGTGTAGCCCTCCAGAGCAGATGTGCTGTACCTGATTAAAGGTGTGATCTGGTTAAGCAGTGGCCAGCAATTGGCCTTCTATGTGGACCATCATAAAGATCATGCCAAGTTTTTCTGTGTTAGTAATGCATTCATTTGGACCTTCAATTTGCTGATGAGTGCATCTTTGCTATTACCAGCCTTTTTTTTCTTCTTTTTTTTTTTAGTAAAATAATTTATCTTCTGCTTTCAGGTCACAGCCTACTTACATAAGGATTTGAATAACCTATGGATTATAAAGAAGCATGATTCAGATACAGGTAACAAATACTGATAAAGAGTCTCTTATAATTTCTGCTTCATTTGTTAACATAAATATTTTGAGTTCCTTCCAGGGCAAAGTGTGCTTCATAGATATGAGATGAGATGGAAGGGAGAACAAGGGCAATCTGACTCTGCATTTGTGTCTGCCCTGTCATTGTTTGCGTTTTTCTCCATGTTATACAGTCAAAGTAAATCAGTTTTTCTCAGCTGAAGGTCACCAGATGGGGTTGCAAATAGCAGAGAGGAAATTAATGTAAACTCAGTCCATATTTTGTGGAATCTATTATTGTGACTGTGGGTCCTGGAGAAGTGGGTTCCAAGTATGCTGTGGTGCATGGTGTCCAGGTGGCTTGAATGAATGCTTGCTTGGGACTATTGAAGGTGTATTCCTCAGGTAGTGCAGCTGAATGATTGGGCTAGGCTAGTTTCCTTTCTATTTTTGCAGCATGTACGCATGAAAATCAACAAGGAAGAGTCTAAACAACAAACAAATTCAAATAACCAAGATATAATGATATGAACAGTCTTGCAAGTGTCACTTTATAGTGCATGAAAATAAAATGCAGATATCTAGTTATGGTGTTCAGTTAGCCTGGCCGAACATCCCCTTTATTTAAGGGCAGTATGTTCTGCTTTGGGCCACATTTGTGCACGGTTCTACAGAGTACTTTCAGGGCTGGTCTTTAAACTAGAGCAGTGATTCACACCAGGCTTTCAGTCTACTCAAATGGGTTTGCCTTGTGTTCTCTGCTTGAGGCAGAGTTCCCTGAAAACTCTCTGTGGCAACGATTTGTTAGTCAGTGCACAGGCATGATTGGTTTTCTTCCTCCAGCAGATCTGTTGGATTCCTCCAGCCCTGTGGAGTTTGTGAGGCACGGAGACATCATTCGCCTGGAACATAAAGAGTAAGGCTGATGGCTGTGATTTGGAGAGTCTGAGTGATTAGATAGGAGCGGTGGGGGATTTGACCTGCTGAAGACTGCGTGGGTAGGCCAGCACAAGTGGATCATGTGACAGAGGTGTATTAATGTCTGCATTTGCAAATGGAGTTTTTCTTCTGTGGTTTGTGATTTGATGGCTGTCTGTAAAATGGGAAACCTTTGGCAGAACCTCTCAGCTTCATCAAGCAGCGCGGAGATCTGTTCAGCTGTGTGAGATGCAGTATGAAGGTAACTGCATATTGGTTCTGCCTGTACAGACAGTATACACCCCCTGAAACTGAACAAAAATGATGACTTGTGCCTTTCCTCACTGTGATGGGAACCTAAGAGACACATGGGTGCCCTAGTGACTCAATATTTAATCTTATGTAATCTAACCTTGCTGTGCCACAATGCTCTGTGCAGTCACAGTTTTTATTTCTTAACAGAAGCTCTGCATTTGTGAGCCACATCATACTGTGTTCAGTATTACATGTTCACAAATCATAGCTTAAACCTTCCAAAATGATTGTAGGACTTTGGAGAGGAAAAAAAAAAAAAAAAAAAAACCAAGAAAAAAACAAAACAAAAAAAAAAGTGCCTTGGATTTTGGATTTTACTGCTAAATTTCTGATAATAAAGGTGATGAAATCTGGTTTTGATAATACTGTGCTCACTTAACTCAGATGCTGGAGGGGAATAGGCTTCTGGAATGGGAGGTACAGCTGCAGCACTGGGGGAAAGATCCAGTAGGTGGCTCTCAGCTCTTTGTGTTGGAGTTTTGTGTGCAGGCAGGCAGGGCTGGGAGCAGCTCTGCTGTGGGAGATGATGGCGCCTGGTGTGGGTGGATTTACTAAAGACTGGAATATGGCCAGGCTTCTCTGCTTGCCTCATCTAGCAGCCACCACTGGGGAGGGGTGTTGTCAGCACTGTGTAAGGCTGTGCAAATGGGGGCTGCTGGTCCCCACCTCAGTGCATCTGACTGAATGATACAGTCTTCCTCTCAAAAACCAACTGATAATCAAGGGAGGTCAGAATCTTATTTTGCTTCTTGCAAAAGCTAAGACTTTCATCCCCAACTTTGCTGTTTGTAAGAAGAGGATTTAAAAAAGGAAAATCTCTGCAGTTTCAGTAAATGTGTGTGATTTACAAGCTAGAGCAGTAATCAATGTTATTTCCACTTGTAGATAGTGTTTATAGCCTAAAGGTTGGATTTACTCATGTTGTCTTCCTTTCCCAGTGTGGCATAAGCTTGGAGTTACACTGGTTACGCTGGAGTTACACTGCTCCAATTGCTGACAGCTCTCTCTGAATGGCTCAAACCAAAGTTCTTATAACAGATTGTCTGATGCATAAAAACAAAACAAGGCTTGACTTCTGATTTCATTCCAGAACTTCTAGAAATCTTCACAGTCACCAGCATGAGGCTCCCCTGACAAGGAAGCACTTTCAGGTCACTGGCTATGGCATAGTAAGTGAATGGCAGAATTCAACAAAAGTTCTTTCTTTTTGGCAGAATTCAGACCATGCCAAGGGAATTTATTTCTGCTTTTAGTTTGTTAGTTATGGTGATAGATGTGGATCTACTGGGCTGGAAGAAAAGATGATCTAGTATAAAACAGTGTATCTCATTTAAGGTCTATTTAATGTGAACACAGACAAGGAAATAACTTAAGCTTTTACTGTCAGTCTAGCTTTGGCAGCTTTCAATTCCATGAATGCCAAACTGAGCAACCTTGAAGTTGCTCTGACAAGTATTATTTTATATATTTGGCCTTGTTGTGTAGACAACTGGCTTTTGTTGACAAGATATTGACAGAATTTTGCATCATGAAAACGAAATCTGCTTTGAGGGATAAGTTTCCAAAAGCAAGTGAGTGTTGCCTAAACCCCTTCTGTAAAGCACCAAGTTACCCCCTTTTAAAATGCAACTCTGAGGCACAGTCAAGTGTGAATTTGGAGCAAAAATATTAAGTTTGGCAAGATAAAAATGTATTTGTGGGTAGTTGCTCATATGAAGAATCATCTCTTCCTTATGGGGAATCTCTACTGTGAAGTCTGAGCAAGAGTAGTGTGGGTTCCTTTGCTTAGCTTCACCACCATTAGAGTTTCAGAATTTCTTATTTGCAGTGCTTCAATCTGTATGTCTTCTGATTGATTTTTGTTTCTTTGTTTTTCTCTGCTGTGGTGGGTTTCCATGATAGAATGGAACAGGAGACTCCAATGACTTCTGGAGGATTGAGGTGGTGGGCAGAAGGGCTGGGAAGCTTATCAAAGTCCTACGGAGTAAGATCCGGCTCACACATGTGGCCACAGGGTGTATTCTGGGCTCTTCTGGAAAGACTCTGCCAAAGTGGTATGTAGCTTGTGTGCTCTGCCTGCCCCACTCCACAAGACTTTGAGCTGCTGTAAGAATGAAAGAGTAATCAGCAGGTACTAGAAATATAACCAGAGAAGATCTGGGTTAGAGTTATGCAATTTGTTACAGTGAAGGTACCTGGTGGGCAGCAGCTCTGAAAAATCCCATAACAATCCAATCCCACACCTGTAGATCTAAGAGTGGCATGGGCATAGATTTTGTTGTCCATTAAGTCCAGGAGTGGATAACAGCCATATTCTTCAAGGCCATTTTAGCCTTAAGGTTCACAGTAAGTGAAGAACTGGGGCAGTTGATGCTGTTCCATGCCATACTTATCCAAACTTATTTTTGTTGGCATTAACTTCTTTTTGTGGTTGGCAGTCCTGCCATTTTTGGGTGCAGCATCCGATGTGAGGGCAGCAATAACAAGCTGATATTACCAGGGAGTTCTCAAGTTATGTATCTTCATCATAAAATGAAGGATGTGCAGAGATTGATGCCAGCCAAGCTACTGTATCTGCAAAGCTGTACTGTATGGAATGCTAACAGGGATCCTGACACAGCAGGCTCTGTAGTCATGGTGCTTCTGTTTCCAGAGCTGTCTCTGTTATTGCTAGCTTAGGTTTTCCTTAGCTCTTTTACAGTAAAGATGATTTCTATTTTATCTGGTGGATGCTGAATCATACATAGTGAGTGCAGGCAGATGCTTCTGCCGGTGACTGCCACGTCAGGAATGCAAATGGCATTTATATTTTTCCGGTAAGACTGGGTTTGTGGGTAAATAACATAACTGGTTTAAAATAATAATAGTGAGACAAATCACTACCTCTGACAACAACATTCAAGAAAGGAGGTATATCTTTTTCCACTAACGCAAGCTCACCCTGTGAATAGAATTCAGTGCTGCAAAATACTGATGACATTAAGAGCTGAGAGGAGGGAGGAAGCCTGGTAACTGTATATATATATATACTTTTTTTTTTTTTTTTTTTTTTTTTTTAAGACTTCAAAGGGGAATAATCACTGACCTTCCAAGACTAGTGATTAATTAATGGATTAATTGGTGAAAGTAAGCCTGTTAAGAGGTGATTGGTGGAAAATAATTAATTCATCACATTACTGCAGGCTCCGATACACTTTTTCCTGTAGTGTTTGGTGTGACCTGCTAGAAAGAGAGTGATACAGCAAGTGAAATGAACCATTGTTTTACCAGCATTCCTTCCTCTAAAGTTGAACCTTTGTTTCTGTAATAGAGTTTCTGTAGTCATAGTTCGACTTGATGACAATGATTTTTCTTTTTTCTGGAGAGACTGTAAGAGTTGACTTGAAGTAGATTATACTTTAGGCAGCCAAACTTAAGAAATACAGGCTGTGTATTTAGTGAAATTTTGATGTAGGCTGCCTTTCAAGCCTGTCTCAGTTTCTACATAGCATTGGAGTGACTGCTGGAGTTGAATGATGTGGTTGGTGTTATGGGAAAGCATGAAGCCAGATAGGGGGGAAAAAAAAAAAAGACATGAGCTAGAAATACTGAGTGATCTTTTTGGAGTAGTGTTTGACTGTTCTGTTGTTCTTCAGGGGTTGGGAACAAGTAGAAGTCACCTGCACACCATATGTGAAAGAGACTCCGAATTCCCTCTGGAATTTTGAAGATCATATAAACCCTAAGTGTAAGTCATTTATTTTCCTTTCCTTTGAGGGTACATCTTGGCTTGCTGTTAGGGAAATGGATGAACTATCAGATGTCAAGAACTGGCAGTCAGCATTTGGGATTTGTCTGTTGTTTCTCAGCTCAAATGTGAACTTGTTAAACTTAGGCCAACTGTTTAGAGATGTATAGGCTTTTTCTGCTTCAGGGGAGATTCAGCTTGGATATTAGGAAAGGGTTCTTTATTGAGTGGGCAGTCAAGCACTTCCCCAGGGAAGTGATCATACCACCAAGCTTACAGGAGTTTAAGGAGTGTTTGGATAACACTTTCAGGCAAATAATGTAGATTTTAGGTAGCAAGAGGTTGGACTTGATGATCATTGTTGTCCCTTCCAACTCAGGATATTTTATGATTCTATAATTTCACTGTTTGTACAGTAAACTGGAGATAATGCTTCAAATATAATGGGAAATATAAAGGATTTTGTAATTATCCTGGATGGCAGAAGCATGGAGTTTTATAGGGAGTGCAGTACAAGTTATTATATTTAATATGATTGGTTCAATTGGGAATTATTGTCATAAATACAAGCATGTTCTATATATTTTAATGATTTATTAAACAAAAAAAGCCAACAAAAACACCACTGTGTTTTTTTTGATGTATCATTTTCTCTTATGAGGGGATGCAAAATAATGACACTGTGGTACCATCAAGTAGTAGATAGTAGAGGTATAACAAAGATTGAGAGGAGACCTGGGTGTGCCGATAATGAGAGGTGACCCTTGCAGCTTCATCCATGAGTTAGGTATGTGTCATAGCCTCACTTGGCCTGAATTATTTGATGTATTTTCTTCCCAAGAATTGCAGATGACTTGGGCAGATTTCTGAATTACCGAAAACTGGTGTACTTCACCCTTACAGAGCAGCTGTGCAAATCAGAGGAAAGGAATTCTGTGCAATTTATTTGGCATTTTCCTCTTCTGTTATAATGCCTTGTGTATTATTATGCTCATGGCTCACTTACAAATAGGCAACAGCTTATGAACAATATCTAATTTCAGCTAGAAATAGGTATCTGCTTCAGGGACTTCTTTGTATTTTTCTTGCTCCTGGGAGTAAAGTAGGAAATCTAGGAATATATCAGTTATGAAATGGAGGATACTTTGGACTGCAAGCCTCTGTGTTTAGAATTTGAATGAATTGCACAGGGAATGAACAGAAGTGCTAGAAGCAGATTTGTCACAAATGGAGGGAATTTGGTTTATTAGGCAAGAGTAAAAAAAATGTAAAACATACAGAATTCTCATCTATTTTTTTTTCTCTTCCTATAGTGCCTAATATCAGCCTGGATGTTTTGAAGCCTTCTTTTTTGGAAATTCTTCTAGAGTCCCACATGGTTATGATCCGGGTAGGGTATTATTAGTTCTAGATGGCATTTTCTTCCTCCTTTGTTTTTCATTTAAAAAAAGAGTTTTTTTCTGAAACATGTGGGTGATAGCTGCAAACTAGGGCAGAATTTACACACTCCAACCACCTGCTTGCATTCTTGCTTAGTAAAAGGGGTGGTCTTGAGGTTAATTTTTCCAGAAGTTCGGAAGCCATGGGCTCGATGATGTTCTGCTGTTCTGCTGTTGATGTAATATAGTTACAGTCTAGTTCTGTAATTGCTTTGCTGCTGAAATTCTGTTCCATAAAGGGGAGTTTAGTATTTTTCCCATGCTGTTGAAAGTTTTAAAGTAAAATTAGTATTTGTAAGGCAGGAGGATATTACTGTGGTCAGACTCAGGAAAATTAGCTGAATAGACAATAAAAGGGCAATAAGTGTTTGAACTGAAAATGAAAAATTCCTGATAATTTCTTAAGGCTCATTGAGATGCTGTGTTTTCAGCCTTTCTCTTCTCTCTTTATCCCCAAGGATACTTGCAAATGGACTAGATTTAATATTTTCAAGGTGGTCTTTCCCTGTGGTTGTTCTTTGATCTTGGCCACATCCCTTCATCTTTCAGCTACTCACTCCTTCATCTGAATAGAAAAGTTCAGTAGGAAGGGGCCTTCTGAGATCATCAGGTCCAACTGTCTGACCATTTCGGGGCTAACTGAAGGTGAAAGGATATTTAATAAGGGCATTATTCAAATGCCTTTTATATTGACAGGTGTGGCATCAACCACCTCTCTAGGAAGCTTGTTCTAGCATTTGACTACCCTCACAGTAAAGAATTTTTTCCTGGTGTCTAGTCTGAGCAGCTTTGTGCTGTTCCCAGGTGTCCTGTCATAAGTTCCTAGGGAAAAGAGCCTGGTACCTCCCTCTCCACTTCCCCTCCTCAGGAGGCTGCAGAAAGCCCTGAGGTCACCTCTCAGCTTTCTTTTCTCCAGAGTAGACAACCCAAGCATCCTCTCCTCACAGGACATGCCTTCTAGTTCTTCTACCAGCTTTGTTGCCCCTAAGAATGGGAATCTACCATTTTGGGAAGAGAGTTTACTTTTTTGTTTGCAGATGTCTTCTGAAATTCTTGAAAGAAAGAAGGTCATCAAATTATTATTAACAGTAAGCATTTCTATGACAACCCATGATAACATTGTCTCAGGTAAGAAAGCACCTGCATGGGTTTCCATGGAAATAATCTTTCTGAGGATTTTATTTCAGGGTGGAAGAAAGTCTGTTGAAGCAGTCTGTTAATGAACAAAGGTCTTGCTTATGCAACATGTGTACTCAGTGACAGAAAACCTGGTAAAGAGAAATGAGAGAATACTGCCTCTAAGGATACTTAAAGAACGTTTTCACTTGTGTAATAGTATTAAAACGTTTGTTATCCTCATGGCTATTTCCAGAAGATGATGTGTGTATGTAGTCAGAAAGCAGCCTTTACTTGGAAGGAATATTCACATACATTTGTAAACCCAGACATCTTAGGGCATTGTTTGCAGCACAACTACCCACTCATTTCAATTTTATCTTGACTTATCTGTAGGGAAACAGTGGCCTGAAACCAAAGGACAACGAAGTTACATCTAAACCCTGGCACTGGCCCATCAACTACCAGGTATATTAATCAATCCTCTTCCCTTTCTGTTTTCAAGTATTTTACTGTGCTTCTTGATCATTTTGAGGATGATGTCAACTTTATTTTGTAGCACCTGAGCTGCATGGAAGGGAATGTGTCTTGCCTTTGGCACTAGAAAATAGATATAAACCAAGTTGATACAAATCCACTTTGCTTACTTCTGGTCTGTTTCCTCAGGGTCTGCGTTTTTCTGGTGTCAATGAGACAGATTATCGGGTTTATTTGCTGGGAAACCCGGTAAGTTGGAACAGGAGTTTCCAAGCCACTGTCTTTAGCAAATTTTACTCTTGCTTTTTCCACTGACAACGAATCCTTTCATCCTTCTTTTGGACTGTTTCTCTAGTAGTTTTCTTATACTTGCACGTAGCTTTTCATTTCCTCTCATGTTCATTCCTGTTTCCAGCCCTAAGTCTTAAATCTTTCTCTTTCCTACGTAGGTGGTATGGTGGCTAAATCTGTTCACTATTGGACTATATCTTCTGATAGCAATTTCCATTGCAGTGGTGCTGAAGAGAGGTGTCCAACTGACTTCTGAACACAAAGGTGAGGTCAGTTTTCCTATGCCTCCTATGCAAGAGAGTCATCTCATAACGTCCTAGTTTGCCGATACACAAGAGCTCATATTGGGAATCATAGAATCATAGAATCACCAAGGTTGGAAAAGACCTAAAAGATCACCCAGTCCAACCGTTCACCTATTCCCAATAGCTCCCACTAAACCATGTCCTTCCACACAACATCCAGCCTTTCCTTGAACACCCCCAGGCTCGGTGATTCCACCACCTCCCTGGGCAGTCCGTTCCAGTGCCTGACCACCTTTTCTGAAAAGTAATACTTCCTCATGTCCAGCCTGAATCTCCCCTGCAGTAGCTTGAAGCCGTTCCCCCTGGTCCTATCACTAATGACACGAGAGAAGAGGCCGACCCCCAGCTCACTACAGCCTCCCTTCAGGAAGTTATAGAGAGCAATGAGGTCTCCCCTGAGCCTCCTCTTCTCCAGGCTGAACATTCCCAGCTCCTTCAGCCTCTCCTCATATGGCCTGTGTTCCAGACCCCTCACCAGCTTTGTTGCCCTCCTTTGAACACATTCCAGGGCCTCAATATCTTTCTTGCAGTGAGGGGCCCAAAACTGGACACAGTACTCGAGATGCGGCCTCACCAGTGCTGAAAATTTGTATTAAAAATCTTCCCGTATGTTGTATTAAAGCCTCTGGGAATTTAATGCATTAAACTCAGGAAGCTGCATGTACTGAACACTGGGCTATGTAGTGCTTTGAAAGTATACTACTGAATGATGTGATTGCTAACAGAAGATGCTGTACAAGAAATAATGACTCTGAGTAAAATCTGGCTTTCTGTCTGGCAAACAAAGAGTTGCCAAATTTCCTAAGCTTGTTAGCCTTGATCAGAAATCCTCAAATCACCAAGATCCTGAAAAATGTACATAGAAAGCTAATGAGGAAAAGAGCTCTGTAAATAATTCACAGGAAGGAGTTATGATAAGCTCCTGAACAATCTTACCACTCCTTTGCTGGAGAGTACAGAGCTGACCTAGGTATAGGCTGGCATCTGAAGGTGATCCAAGGGTATGAAGCACAGTAGGTTTTTGCTAGGTTATTTTTTTCTAGGAGGCAAAGGTTTGGATTCATTAGTAATTCATATGCCAGCTGTGCTCTGCCAGGTGGTTGCCCAGCCTAGCATGACAGTTGCTTAGGAACTGTTAAGAGCTGAGATGCTGGCCACAATTGCTATCAGTTATGTCGATTGCTTGTTGTGGTTTAACCCAAGCAGAGTTCTAAGCATCACATTTGCTCACTCTCCCCAAGTCAAATGGGGGAGAGAATCAGAAAGGTAAAAGTACAGTAACTTGTGGATTAAGATAAAGATGGTGTACTAAGTAAAGCAAGAGCTGCACGTGCAAGTAAAGGAAAACAAAGAATTAATTCATCAGTAGGCAGATGTACACCCACTTCCAGGAAAAAAGGGCTTATCACACATAATGGTTTCTTGGGATGACAAATCACTTAAAGGGCCCCTCCTCTGAGCTCTGCAGAGAGGGACCTGGGTGTCCTGGTGGACGACAGGTTGGCCGTGAGCCAACAGTGTCCTTGTGGCCAAAAAGGCCAATGGCATTCTGGGGTCCATTAAAAAGAGTGTGGCCAGCAGGTCGAGGGAGGTGATCCTCCTCCTCTACTCTGCCCTGGTAAGGCCTCATCTGGAGTACTGCGTCCAGTTCTGGGCTCCCCAGTACAAAAAAGACAGGGATCTCTTGGAAAGAGTCCAGCAGAAGGCCACAAAGATGGTGAAGGGCCTGGAGCATCTCCCCTATGAAGAAAGGCTGAGTGAACTGGGTCTGTTCAGCCTTGAGAAAAGAAGACTGAGAGGGGACCTGATCCAGGTGTATAAATACCTAAGGTGTGGGGGGCAGAGTGGCAAGGCCAGGCTGTTTTCGGCAGTGTGTGGAGATGGACAAGGGGAAACGGGCATAAGCTGGAGCATAGGAAGTTCTGCACAAATGTGTGCAAGAACTTTGGTGAGAGTGATGGAGCACTGGAACAGGCTGCCCAGGGAGGTGGTGGAGTCTCCTTCTCTGGAGATGTTCAAGACCCACCTGGACACCTACTTGTGTGACCTGGCGTAGGGAACCTGCTTTGTCAGGGGGGTTGGACTCAATCTCTGGAGGTCTCTTCCAACCCCTATGATTCAGTAATTCCTCCTCCTCAGCTTTTGTTGCTCAGTGTGACACCATGTGGTATAGAATATCCCTTTGGCTAGTTTGGGTCAGCTGTACTAGCTGTGTTTCCTCCCAACTTCTTGTGCCTCCAGACTCCTCGTTGGCAGGGCGGAACTGGGATTGTTTAGTCTGGAGAAGAGGAGGCTCGGGGGAGACCACGTAGCACTCAATTTCCTGAAGTGAGATTGGGAAGAGGAGAGTGTCAGCATCTTCCCTCAGGTCACAAATATGACCTGAGAAAATGGCCACAAGTTGCACCAGGGGAGATTTAGATTAGACGTAAGGAAAATCATTTTCTCTCCAAGAGTGGTCAGACACTGGAATGGCTGCCCAGAGAGGTGCTGGAGTCACCATCCCTGGTGGTGTTCAAGAGGCATCTGCATGAGGAGCTACAAGAGATGTTCTAGTAGCTTAGTGGATAGTAGTGGTAATAGGAGGATGGTTGGACTAGATCTTGTAGGTCCTTTCCAACTTTGTGTTTCTATGATTCTGTGAACAAGAAGCTGAAAAGTCCTTGACTTAATGTAAGCACTGCTCTGCAACAATTAAAACATCAGTGTGTATTATCACCTCTATTTTCATCAAAAATCGAAAACAGCATCAGTGAGCCTCTACAAAGAGATTCAGCTCTATCCCTGCCAAAACCTCGATGCATATTTGTTGAAAAGACTGTTTTTGATCTGGACATACCAATAAGAAAGTGATAAATGTCTGCATCAGGAAGTTTCCCAGGCATACATCTACTGGTCACATGGCCTTACCTTCTTTTGCTTTGCAGATGCCTACAATCTGTTTTTTAACACTGCTGCTTATCCCACACAAGTTACTTGATACCCAGTTTCCTTTTCATAAATTCCATTTGCAGATGCCCTAGAAATCTGTGAAAGGCAGGACTGTGTACCAGGAGCAGAAGACCATTAAGGTTAGGTTATGGAGTGGTGTCCATGAGAAAAAGTTTGTGAGATTCATGCCTCAAGTAGTTTAACCATGAACAAGACCAATCTTCAGTAGAGATACTTCAAGGAGCTTCCTGAGTTGGCTGTAATGGAGATTGTGTATTGATCCAAATTGTCTACTCTCAAGCTTTGCAAGCATAATGTACCATTGTAATATGCATGCTGTTTTGAAATAAGTATTTCCTGATATTTCATGCAAAATAAATGGTTAAGGGTCTTTTATTGCATCTGATGCCAGGGTTGTAGAGCTTTTAAAAAATCTGAGTACATCATACGTTAACCTTTGCAGTATACATCAGTGGTTACTTCATTTTGTAAATCTCTGTGTTGGAATGTGTGATGTGACACTATTCAGTCCCACAGTGATTAGCTATTGGCCAAATCATCTGCACAAACCAGAGCTCTCAGTCCCTTCCCCAGGCTCTGAAAGGTAGGCAGCATTTCCTTCTGGGAAAGGCTGGCAAAGTGATCATCTAGCTGGCCTGTAGTCTTGTTGTGGACAGAATCAAAGACATCTGAAATTGAAATGACCTGTGTATACACTGAGGAACTGCAAATTTGGTCTTAACGTAGAGCCTAGTAAATCTGCTGCTAGTCCACTGAGACGTTTTTGGATAACTTTTATGTAATACAGTAATATAATACAGCATGTAACGATATATTACAACATGCTAGGTACTGTATAGTAGGAAAATGTAATACTGTGAATGTGTAGCATACTGCTGACTGCGACAGGGCTTGTTAAGAGGAATTGTATGTTGAATTCTTTTCTGCTGAAGCATGTTTGTTTGTGTTCCAGAGCTGTCTCGAGTTGTGCTCTGTGGTGGAGGGCAGGTTGCTCTGGGCTGGCTCCTTCATTACCTACCCTTCTTCATGATGGGCCGAGTTCTCTACTTTCACCACTACTTTCCTGCCATGCTGTTTTCCAGCATGTTGACAGGTAAATATTGGATGCTAGGAGAAGGTGAGGCAGAGACACGGGTGAAATTCTCTTATTCTGTTAGATGGAACATTTTCAGACTAAACAGTTTTACGTTTTTTGCTTGTGCAGAGAGCTTGAAAACACTGACTTACTGAAAATGTTCTTCACAAAGCAGCTTGTGTTGCCAAACTGTCTCTTTGTGTTGCCACCCTCAAGGAGCAGCTGTGTCTGGAGGTTAGGGCATTTGAATTGGGATGTGATCCCTATTCTCTGCCGTATCATTGCTCTTCTATAGTCTTTTATACGTGTTACTTCCCATTGTTTATTGTCACTGCTTTTCTGGCAGTTTCATTTGTAATTTGTTTTTCTAGCCTTTCCTGTGCCTTAGTTAGCAAGCTGGAGCCTGAATGTCTTGTCCGTTTATTCAGGTGGGAGGGAAGGAAAAGAGAACTTTCTGCTGATAGGAAACAATCTCAGTAGTTGTGATGGTTAGCAAGGGAAATGAATTTAAAAATCGATAAGGTCCTCTGGTGATAACAGCTTTGTCAGCACAGTGTGGCAATGTAACAACTGTTGTCTTTGGCATCTGCACCGATCCTGACTTTTGTCTCATTATTCTCCTAGGAATCACCTGGGACACACTACTGAAGTTTTTTTCTCAGTTCTTGTCACCTAGCACTACAGCTAGAAGAGTTTATGGAGGGGGGATCCTGACACTGATTCTGCTCATCATGTACAGGTGAGGGCTGAAAGCTCAGCTCTTTCTCAGTGTGAGAAAGTCTCAGTGGAGACTTTATGCCTATTAATTGTCCTCGATGGTGTCTCTGCCACTCATTTCTGCTGATCTTGACTTTAAGACATCGAGTCCAATCCTAAGCTCTCAGCAGTATGTTTTAAAACATCCTTCAATTGCAGGTAATCTTTCTTTCATTCTACTACTCAGTGCGAATGCTCCATTCCCTTCTGAACTCACAGTTCAGTGTTTTTGATTTTACTCCCCATACTAAGTGGTGCCAGATCTCTCAAATACAGGCAAATTCTTCATTGCTGTAGATCTTCTTAGCTGGCTTTTCTCCAAAGCTGTTGCTTTCTAAAAGAGAACAACACTAGTGATAGGAATGTGGATTATGTATGTATTGTGTTCAGCAGAGGTTAGAATGTCCCCAGTGGAGTTTAGAGCCATAGTAAATAAAAAAAAAAAGTCTCATACCATATGGACTAATGTGCTACATTGTTCTCAAGACAGAAAACTGTGCAGTCCTTGATGGCATTTTAATTCTTCCCACAGCTTCTACCTCTTCCATCCTCTGTCCTATGGGATGATAGGACCCATGGCATCTGACACCAGCAGCCCCATGGCAGGGCTCCGGTGGATGGAGTCCTGGGAGTTCTAGAGCCACCGAACAGCATCTGGGGACAAAGAATAAGAAGCATGAGGACTGCTGCACGTCAAGCTGGTTTCTGGCGCTTTGGAGGACATGTAAAGTGTCCTCTCTGGTGAACTCTGGTTGCAGCAACCCTGTTGTTCTGGCATTTGTTTGCACTGTCTGCATTAGGAGATGCAGAAGCTAATCCTCTTAGAAAGACTCATGAATCTTTAGGTGATATTCCTGGACAACTGGCTGGTTAGATCTCAGTTCTACTGAACAATGTACTGGGACTCTTCACAAGCAAACAGCAGTGGCATTCCAGCAGTCAGAGCTGTACAAATTGGGGACTGTGTGTGGTTGAATGTTCACCTGCGTTTGTCTGTCTTCCTTCTTGTGTCATTGCAGTTTGAGAGCCAGATAGTGTCCAGATATTGAAACATGAATCATGCTTCATGACCTTTCTTATGGTAAGGTTTTTTCTTAAATTTTCAAGTAAGCATGTGGGGATTTCTTTACTGGCTGTCTGCATTTTTTGCTCCAACCTTGAATTTTTAGAATTTGACTGAAAGGGGTCTGCTTGAACCACTCCTGAACCACTGTGCCTCGTCTGTCTCCCAGGCCTTTTGCTGACAGAGGAGATGGAGATTGTTTACCCCCTTATACTGCCTTGCTTTCTAGTCACTCTTAATCATTTATAACAATAGCCTGTGCTCAGAGCCAGACTGCTCCTGCACTGCACTTTGTATCTTCTTTCCAGTTCTGTCAGACACTGTTAAGGAAATTACAGTGGGAACAGCAGGTGATTTGTTTTCTGCCCCAGTGTGCTGTGAAGGCTGATCCTTGGGTGCTTGGGACTGAAATGATTGGGTGAAAATTTTAGATAGCTGTCATTTGTTTTTTGATCCCAGCTATCTCAATGCCTCTATTTCTGGTTTTAGGAAAAAGGATTTATCCTAAGGAACATAGCAGCTGCAGAACTGGCCCTTGGCATCTGCACGCTGTATTCCAATATTGAGCGTGTTCCCTCCTGTTAATAGCTGTCCATTTAATTACTGTATAGAAGACAATGTGAGGACAGGCTAAAATTCAAGTGTCAGGAGCCCTTGGATGTTAAATCCACCCCTTCCATGAAAGTGGAATGTTACTTATCAGATGCCTTTCTCCTGTATTAGGTCTATTTTTGTAAATGTTGTTTGTATTCCATCTTCAGTTCCTTACCCAGTTTGAATTTCTTGTCACAATCCTTGGTTGCTACTTAGACCTCAGCTGTGTTCCTGTGTCAAAAACTAATATTTGCAAAACTCTTTATGTATGTCTTAAGGAACTCAGGCTTTTCTTTTCAGATTTCTTGCTCTGCTTCTCAGCCTTCCATTAAAGCTTGTTTACAGGTCTGTGTGTCTGCTAAAACATCAGTTGTTCATTCATTTATCAAACCTTGAATTCTAGTGCAACTCATACGGCACAGAAGGGCTGTGTTAGCATCTCCAGGACAGTTTTCTGTGTGAGGAACTGGGACTCTAAGTCAGACTGCCTTTCATTCCTTTTCAGTAGAGGAGCCATAGGCAGCTGCTTGCTGTTGTAAGCTTCTGGCTCAGAGTGCCACAGAAACTAACACAGATTGTCTGTGATTTTGATTCTAAAGGTTTTGAGTTTATCACCTGCTGATAGTTCGTCATGGGAAGCTGTTGCACTAATTAGCTGCTGGATTTGATGATTCTTTTCCACTTGGCTGTTGCAAGAAGTGCTCCCACCTGCACGAGCCAGGGGTTCACAGAGATGATGCATAGAGAAGGATGTGGAAGCGGCTGCATAAGAGCTGTCCTGCTTTATCTCACAGCAGCTGAGAATTGTTAACTGTTGGCAACATGGCAGACAGGCAGTGCAGTGCTGCCTTTGTAGCAGTGTGATTCAGCATCTTTGCTCTGGGCGAGACTATCAGCCTAATGCCTTGCTGTCCTAAGTATGAGTTCTTCCTACAGTAGTCCTATTGTCATGGAGAGGAATTTCCATAAGTGCTGATAAAAGCTGTGATTTGAAGTGTAGGGGTTTTCCCAGCCTTTGATTTCTATTTAACAGCAAACAACAACCAAACAAACCTAGAAAACTTGTGTTACGGAATGATAATTTCTAACGTTGTTGATCTGCCATCTTAAATCTGAAAGCACAAAGCTCAGTGACCTCAGCTATTTTGGTGATGTTGAAGGTGTCAGCATTATAAGAACTGCCTGAGGAAGACGAGCCTGCGTGTTCCTTGCTCAGAGTACTTTGGTCCTCTGTTGCTAATAGCAGTGGGTGGGCATTGGTGGCTCAATACAGACAAAGGCTGCGTTGTTTTCTTTTTTTCTTCTCTTTGCAGTAGCCGATTCAGAAATTCTCTTTTGAGAACAGTGGTTGGCACTGAGACTGGCCTGTTTGCTAGGTGTTACATGCTGGTAGTGGCGTGGAGATACACAGTGAAAAAAATGCAGATATTCCACCAGGGGGAGCAACCTCCCGCTGATTTTTATTTTTTTTTATTTTATTTTTTTTTAATCTGGATTTAAAAACATTAAAAGGTTGATGTTTGAAGACTAGAGGGCAGACATGAAAAAAGAACACATGACATCTGCCACTTCTGGGCTCCATGGGATGGGTTTTCAAGTAACTGAAATGATGCTGATGTATTCTTTCTGTTGAAGAACACTGAAAAAATAGTATTTGATTTAATACTTCCTTCTCAAAAACAAACATGCAAACAAAAATGCACCTTCTCTGGTAATAGCTGGAACAGTATAGTAACCAAAATTTTGTGAATAAAAATATATTTGGGTTCTCCTACTGACTCTGACATAAAAAGATGTGGTGCAGCCATAAGGCAAAGGGTACAGGGCACTCTGCATTCTGGACAGAATTTGGGCTGTTTCAGTTCTGTTCTTCCCTTCGTATTTATGAACAAGTTCAGGCTCATCCTGCAGGCTGATTATCACAGTTCTCTTCCTCAGCCACATGGAAAATAGCTTTCCAGGGCCAGAAGATGCTGTTCTCTGGAGCAGCTGTTTCTTTGAAGTTTGCTTGACAGGGCTGCTTTTATCCCTAGTGAAGTATTTCATCAAACGGTGTCTGTAGAGTCAGACTACAAAAAACTGCAGATCTCCAGGTTCCCTGTTATGGTTTTGGGTTTTTTTTGTTGTTGTTGTTTTTTGTTTTTTTGTATTTTGTTTTAATCTGATAGCTATTTTCACCTCTTCAGTCCTTGGAGGGTAAATAGAAGGCCTCTTGACTCATTTGGCTCATCCTAGACATGCCATTCATCTTAAAATGTGTTAGCAGCTCCCTCTACACACCTCTGCACACCCCTATTCCAGCAGGAGGGACTGCCCCATTTCCAGGAGGTCAGCTACACACGCTGCAAGACAGGGCTTTGACTCTGGGAATGATTTGAATGGAGATTCCTTTGCCAATATTACTCTTGGTTCAAGCAGAGGACTTTGTGTCATGTTCTGCTTACTGCTGTCGTTCACAGTTCACAGAGTGGGACAGCCAGTACCACTCTCATTTGCAGTTTTATTTTTGCATCTCGATTGAATGTTCTTGGTTCACAGAGAGCATGGATAGGATCCTCCTTTTTATATCTCTCTCCTTCTGTTTCTTCCCCAAACTGCAGGAAGTGTCATTTTCCTCTATGTTTTAGGCTGTGCATCCATTCATGCCTGAATGAGGAGTAAGACAGGGCGCCCTGTAGTATCCTGAGTGAGTGAGCAGCTATCGCAGTGAGAGCAAAATGAGCACCAATTAATGGAAAGCTAAGCATAGGTTCATAGGTAGGATTTTTTTCTGCCAACTGCCCTTTTTGTATACTCTGAGAATCTTCATCAAGGGACTTGAGAGTGAACTAGCTGTCAACATTAGAAACGCAGACATTTATCTGAAGTCCTCTGCTTTTGTGCTTAGATGCTTCTGCTGGCCAAGCTTGTGTGATGGATTCTGAGCTGGCCCTCTGTTGACAAGTGCTGTTGTAACACCATTCCCTCCTCTCAAGGTACTGATGGCAGTGCAAACACCTCCCTAGCTGTGAGCCTGCATCTCCAACAGCTGCAGAGTGTAGGTAAGGGTGTTCCCCTCTACAGCAGAGGGACTGCACTTGGAGTCAGGTGGGGCCCTCCCACACTGGTCAAGTACCAGTTATGAAAGCAAAAACATGTGGACTGTTAGGACATTAGCAGGGGTTCTTATGTGATCCTGTCCTGTATTCCATGCCTTTCTTACTAATGCTGCTGTACATGTGTGTGCATACATGCACATGTGTGCACCCATCCATGATCTGACTGTCTTCTGATTCTTCTGAGATGGGATTACTGCACTGTACAGTGTGCAGAGAGAATGTGGGAGAATGGTCCCTTGAGCTATGAATATATTTTGTACAGAGAAACGTGGAAAATGTGGTAGAATTTTGAATTCATTTTTGTAATAAATACCTCTTTCAAGCATTCTTTTGTGGTTGTGGGTTTTTTTTTCCTTTTTTTCTTCTTCCTCCCTTTCCTCCCTGTCCCTCCCACACACAACTGAAGGAGCAACATGGATTTGAAATTGAACCATTGGAGAGTTTGACTTATGGCAGCGGTGATACAGAAACCATTGCCAGCATCAGCTTTATCAGCTTTTAGCATACAAATGTTGCTGGGCTGCAGTCTCAGGAGGTTAAGTCTTGCTGCAGTCCAAGCAATGCACCGGTAAGCACAGCAGAAGTGGAGCTAGATTGGCTAAAGATAAAGTACTATCTGTTGACGTGGATTTATTTCTCTATGTTGAAATTGTGTTAAATTGTAAGTACACATAATACGTGCTGTTTAATGGGTATATTCATCAGGCTTCTGGTAGGTTGCCTTCAGACATCTAACTTGACAGATTGGGCACTTTTTCCAAGAAATCAACATTTATGTATGAGTCATTCTTATTTTGAATGTGTAGTATCCCTAACATCAGCTCAATGCACAGTCTTGTACAAATGAGGCCCTTGCTGTGAACTAAATGCAAGAATCTGTAATAAAACTGGAATGTTGTAAATCAGGAGCTGTGCCAGGCTGTAGTGACAGAGCAGCGTGCATTTCTGAGTACAGCATTGCAAGGGGTGGAACTAGAAGGGGGAAAAATGCAGCCTTCCTCTGTGCAGCTATGCAGTGATGCCCAAATCAATGCTGGAGGAGAGCCGGCCAGCCTGCTTAGAGCTCATCCAACGGCTGTTGAAGTAAAATCAGGACGGCTGGAATCTGGACTTTGCCTTGACAAGGTGATAGAATAGGCAGACAGAGCTCCTGGAAGGCCCGGCGGTATTCTGTGCTGCTTCACAAAGCTCAAGCTGGTTGTGGGCTCTCATCCTGGAAGGAAGGGCTGCTGATACAGGAGCTGTTCTGGGGTGCAGGGATAATAAGAATGAATAAGGAAGAGAAATGCAGCAGTGTTCAGAAACTGCTGATTACATCTGAGGTAGAACTCTACTTCCTAGTCCTGCAAAAGAATGGCTTCTGTCCTCAGGTGAGTGAGCTCACAGGGGTGGCACGGATGCTTGATGGCATTTGTATAATGCTCTGTATGTAGTTTTTATTATACCATGTTTGGAATCTCTTGGGTCTCTAAATTACAGCCATTTTCCCATTATGTGGTTCTCAATGTGAACAAACCTTTTTTTCCCCCATAAATTGGTGTTTTCTCTTCATTTAGATCCTCAAGCTTTGCTTAATGTTTTTGCTAACCAAATATAGAAACTTCTACTGCAAACTTTAACTTGCTTTCTCTGTCTCTCTAATCTCCTGTACCTCTTTTCTCATTTTCTTCATTTTACCCATATGGTTTCCCAAATTGTACAATGCCTTCCAACATCGCACTCCCAAATTCCATATGCTGAAAGAAATCTTCATGATTCCGACCCCATCTTCCTGGTTTACATCCAAGTACTGGTGTATATATCCTTATACTTCTGTTTTCTAATATGCCATCTCTGAATGTAGTTCTGGCCCATGTAGTACATCATCTGAAAGAAGAAAGTTTGTGCTGTATCTAAATAGACATAGTCTATTGGGTGCTGTGACTGCTGGAAATTGTTTACCATGTTTACCATTCCTGCAGCCATTGTATTAGCCCCAGATTTCACCCAAAGCTCATCATCTTGCAGCCCTGCAGCTGATAAAAGGGAGCTCTTGGGCTCTGCTTGTCTGATTTTTTCACTGCAGTTTTGGATGAGGCAGTTCAGCAGTGTCCGTGTTTCTCCACTGACCAGAAAGAGTTTTTTTCTTGCTCAGATGAATGTGTCTGCAACTGATCCCTTGAAATGCTTTAGGGACAATAATTGTATGGCTACAAAGCAAAGAAGGAATCTAGCTGACAAAAAGGGAGGGGCTGGTTGAGGTGGGAATGA